TATAGGGTTTGAACCATTAATCCTTAGGTTAGCAATCTACAGCACCACACCAGGACTACTAGACAATGAAAACAGCTGCATTTATCAGAGTCAACGTACTTTTGGTTTGGGATAAAGAAGGCGAAAACGAGCAGTTTTCTGTGATTTAGAACATTTTGCATGTCTCAAGAAACCTTTAGATACCTGTTTTTGTTTTCTTTTTCCAGTTTGCTTTGCCCAGATCAAGTTCTTTAGGAGACTTTTCCTGGCCTCAAAGGTAAAGATGTTTATTGTTTTTTTCATTTTTATCAATCACCAAGATATTTCTCTGTTGATAAGAATGTTGTTTATTGGTCCAGTGATGAGGATTTTTGTTTCCTTTACATTGAAATGCAATCCATACCAAAGGCTGTGCTCTTTGATCTTCATCAGTAAATATTTTAAGTCCTCTTCACTTTCAGCAAGCAGGGTTGCATCATTTGCGTATTGCAGGTTGTTAATGAGTCTTCCTCCAATCCTGAAGCCGCATTTTTCTTCACAGAACCCAGCTTCTCGAATTATTTGCTCAGCATACAGGTTGAATAAGTATGGTGAAAGAAAACAACCCTGTTGCACACATTTCTTAATTTTAAATCATTCAGTGTTCCCATGTTCTCTTCGAACAATTGCCTCTTGGCCCATGTACAGATTCCTCATGAGCACAATTAAGTGTTCCAGAATGCTCATACTTTGCAATGTTGTGCATAGCTTGTCATGATCCACACAATTGAAAGCCTTTACATAGTCAATAAAGCACAGGAAACATCTTTCTGAAATTCTCTGCTTTCAGCCAAGATCCATTGGACATCAGCAATGATACCCCTTGTTCCACAGCTTCTTCAGAATCTGGCTTGAACCTCTGGAAGTTCTCTGTCAATGTATGCTTGCAGCCGTTTCTGTATTACCTTTATTAAACTTTACTTGCATGAGATATCAAAGATAATGTCCTATGATCTCTGTATTCCATTGGGTCACCTGAAGTTGTTAAGGTCTTCATTCTTCTTGGATCAACTATCAACATTCAAGGAAGCAGCAGTCAAGAAATCAAATGACGTATTGCATCAGACAAACCTGCTGCACAAGACCTTTTTAAACTGTTGAAGAGCAAATATGTCAGCTTAAGAACTAAGGTGCATCTGACCCTAACCATGGTATTTTCAATAACTTCATATGCATGGGAAAGCTGGACAGTGAATAAGGAAGACTGTAAAATAATTGATGCTTTTGAGCTATGGTGCTGGAGGAGAATATTGAAAGTGCCATGGGCTGCCAAAAGAACCAACAGATCTGTGTTGGAAGAAGTGCAGCCAGA